ATTTTGGTATAAGTTTTCTTATAGTGGCAMTTTGGCACAAATTACACAAAAACCAAGTAATATGCGCTATTAAAAATTCRTAATATTCCTTACAAATTAACTTTTACTTATTTAGAAAAATTCAGAATTAAGTGGCAACTCGAAGCAAAATATATAAAAAAAAAATTTATYTAACCTGCATTTYTAAMTGCATATATTTGCAGTTTTTGAAAAYATGACGATTTTYTAAATKTTCTAATATTTTTTACTAGYAAAGCWACCATAGAGAGAATTAGRTATTAAAAAATAGTTTACAATTATAATTTATGCAAAAAAAATTTATTTAATAACATCGAAATTTATTTTTAAAAAATATTGTTCAAATTATGTGGCAACTCTTGGGTTAGTCCACTCAATAAATTTCTAACAAATAACGCCTTTGAATGTTTCTTACAAAGAACTAACTTCTTAATTAATAATTAATTTCAAAAGTTTCAGCGTTGCCATATTGCTGATTTTTCATATTCCAGATATTCAAGGAGGAAAAATAGTATTGTAAAATAAATGAAACAATATATAAAGTATATAAATAAGACATTAATATTTATATAATATTTTTAATAATTTAAAATTTTCATCGTTGCCATATGGTTAMATTTTTCCTTTTTAAAGTATTCCAAAATCTAAAAAAAAAATTAATTTAATGCAAACATTTTGAAGTAAACAAAAAMAAATTGTGTGGCAACTCTGAAGAAAAAATGAGTTTACTTAACACATTAATAATTGCACTATCCTACAAATAACTCACTTCAATTTTAATTTAGTTTAAGAAATTTTAGTGTTATCATATTTTGATTTTATATTTGCCAAATATTCAAGAAGAAAAGGGGATATGCTAAAACAAATCAAACATTTAAGTAAATACTAATAATTATTTCATTTATGTGGCAACCCTGAGCAAAAAATGTATGTATTTAATACATTTATGTTAATACTTTTTTAAAAATAATGCTTTATCTAATATCATASATGATTTCAAATTTCAAGCGTTGTCGTATTGTTAAAATTTTCATACTCAAATTATTCCAAAATAGAATAAAATATTCCAAATTAAAATGAACATTTTCGAAATTCCAAAAAAATAATTTTATGTGGCAACTCTGTCCAAAAACAAATTTCATTAACACCATACTACGAATAACGTCCATTCCAATATCTTAAATATTTTAAAAATTTATAGCGTTGTTTTATTGTTCAATTTTTATATACCAAATGTAACAAAATACAATAATATTCTTAATTAAATATTTTGAACTAACAAAAGAATTTAATATTGAGTTCAACGGTTTATGTATACTGGGTAGCCATAGCTATGTTTGTATATATATTTGCCGTATGTTGATTACTGAGTTCTCAAACATCTGCCATTAATCACAGGATATTTTATCGCTTCAGCGCGATATTAATCGCTTTTGCTATATCAGCTGCAACTAAAGGGGATTCACATAACATAACCTAAACCTATACTATTACATAAACCACCAATTGATATTCATGTTGACAAAATTATGACACTGCCAACAGATGAGGRGTAATCTTTAGACATGCTCATCAAGAGATAAAGAGTGCAATAAAATTTGAAGGTCTCACTGCACTTAGTGGCTTAATATATACAGTATTAATAAAATATTATTAAGAAAAATATTTCTTTTCTAAATACTTAAGAACATTGCAAAAGTTAACACACAGGATTTAGCATCATCGCATGTTCCCACTTCATTTCTTTCGTAAATAATTTTCGGCTTGTCACAAGCGTAAGACAAATCACAGCTCAGATTTYCAATCCGCATAAATTTGTGCGCCTACAAATTGGGCAATTACCGTGATATTCAAATTTATTCGCTTGGAAAATTACACTTTGTCGCTGTCATCCGTCGTCGTCGTCGTTTATGAGGGCCAAAGACAAATTCACAAATCAAGCAGATAATGAGGAGCGAAATAAAACAAAACAAATTGTCTATAAATAAGTATCAAGTGCTCRAAAAAGAGTATGTACCATAAATTTCGCATTCAAATAGACACGTCTTTATTTATAATATATGTAAAAATGTCTATCGATGATTGCAAATGTATATTTGATTCGTGTGAATCTCAACCAAGGCTTGATTGTACAGCATTTGCAGGCGCAATAAAAAAACATGCATACATTTAGGCGTATATACGTGTAMGTGTGCCTGCCCTGTGGTAAATTGTCTCTGCGTATTATGTTTACAAAGGCAGAATAATGGGTTTTATAAAAAAGTTCATAGAAATAAGACTGCAGAAGGCGAGAATGAAATGCGCAGAAAAATCGGCAACAATGTAATGTTATTTTTTTAGAAATATATGAATTGAATAATAGAAGATTTTTACTCGCACTATAAAGAGGAAACCATGCTGAGCGTTCATTCTTTTGGTAGTTTACTATATATTGTTTCTTCTCGGTCAGTAGGTGAAAGTGAAATTCGCAAAGAAAATTGGCAACAGTGTAATGAAGTTCAACCATAAATATTTTAACTGAATATAAATAAAATATTATAAAGAATTTTTACTCGCAATCAATCTTCCTTCACCGCAAAATATCACTCGGAATCGGTCAAATTTTCAAAATTTMTTTTTCAAATTTTAACTGAGCTAACATATGTATATGGAAGCTTTCTATTTTTCTTTTTAACTGAGCTAACWTTTATGGAAGTTTTGTGTAACCTAAAGGCCAACATATAGTCTTCGTAAGCTTTCATGAACATTTTGAGTAGTAAACTCRCGAGATTTAGTCGAAAGAAAAATTGTATTAAATTGTATGCGCTTAAAAGTATGCTTACTGTGAAAATATTCCTTCCTTCTAGTTCGACGGTAAACACGTCCCTAAAGGGCACGCAACAGCTCACCAAGCTGCGGACCAGTTAGCAATCCAAACACTTTTCAGCTAAGTCACTTGTGCTATTGCTTTCACCAAAGCCTACGGCAACTAAACTAAAGTGTCTGATTTAATCAGCAAGTAAATTACCAGTCAAATACCATGACGAGGCAATGAAACTGAAATAAAGCGTTGCCAAACAAAGATTTCAACAGAGRACTTGGCAAACAGCATAAATATACTGAAGTCGAGCGACCAAGCCCACTAAACTGAAATCAATGGGAGGTAAGTAAGAAAAAGGGTAGGTAAAGGCGAAAGGCAGGCCTGTCATTCCGCGCCTAGTACATGCAGAATATATTGATAAACAAATATGGAAGAGACGGAGMATGCACGACAATCATGCAACCGGCAACTGCTGTCAATCAAAGTTGGCACAATTCGGTAAGCCAACAATTTCGGCTGACAGCAAAATAGCAAACGGCAAACGTGTGTTAACGCAGAAGCTCGAGCRAGCAGCGCCTTGAGCTGCGATGAGCTGATGATCCTTTAGGGGAAAATCGAATGCGATAGCCGTGAATGTATGCAAGTGAATTGAGGAAATTGAACCCAACAAGGAAATGAGAAGACATATTCAGATTAAGAAAATGCATTCACAAAAGGTTTCTTAGAAGAAATGAAGTTTGACCGATCAGTTTGGGTGACAGCTATAGTGAACCGATCTGCACAATTTCCTCGRAGATTGCGTTACTTTTTTGGACGAAARCCTACGCCGAATCTCAGGAATTAATCTCGTCAACTGGAAAAGYTTTGCAYACAAGGACTTGATTYCGATTGTACGGTTTGTRTGGCAGCTATATGTACGCTATGTTAGTCCGTTGTCGGCGGTTCCCACAAATGATCAGTTATGTTTCCTTCGAAGCGTTGAAACCTTCCTGGTTGACTTAACATAGCGTCGAGGTAGGTAGGAACCCCATTCAGTGTCGAACTATTTGATATGTTTTTCCTGCACTGGGTGTTGACTGACTAGCCGGTCGCGCCGCCATTAAAGGAGTGTCAGCAAAAATCAATTAATCGCACGGAGGGAAGCAAAAGAAAGCAGCGCAAAGAAAAATGCATAAAAGAAGGCGACGAACTGTTTAAGTAATGGCTGTATTGAGGCACATATATATGTATGGAAGGAGTTGTTTATTTATATTTATGTACATGTGCGCGCAGGCGAATTTTTTGCCGCAAAAATGTATCTAAATAAGCGACCAGCACTTGCCACCAGCGGTGCCCTGCCATCGTCGGAATATCTGCAACTTTCTGCCACACTTGCGGCCACAAACGGATGTCGTGAGATTGTTTGTTGTTGAACAGCGGCAATAAATTTGAKGTCATCAATTTATTAGTTACCAAACAAAAAAGGAGAGACTTAGTTGCGGAAGGAAGTGGTGAAAGGCTGGTTTCGAACTAAAAAATACATAGTTGTTAGAGGAGCGTTGGGAAGGAAGTAATGGATTAGGTAAACGGTGGATTCGATATTTTGTTGCAAGTATCAGTTGGTGTAGGATTTGCTGATTTGATTGGAGCAGGTTTTTGGAAAGCAAAATAAAATAAGGGAATATTAGGTCAGCCGTGATTTTTATATGAGGACGAAAGTGGATAAAAGTAGGGTGTATATAAAGTTTTCGACAAAAAACTGGGTTGATGGTAACRAAGTCCATAGAGCATAAATCTTTCACTCGATACATAAGGTTCATTATCAGCAAAAGTTGATACTGGAAACTTTATCAAAACACAAAATTAATATATAAATAAATACAGCCTGACATAAATGCCAAATTTTCGAGCAACTTCCCAGAAATGCTCATACATGCTTTTACAGCTCGAAGAATAACAACTTTGACAACTTAAGTAATTTGCCATCAGCTTAGCTCCCTCTACTCCGCCACTCTTATATGTATATGTGACCATACACAAATACAGCGCTGTGACACCGATAAGCATGTGAGACCTGTTATTTACGATTGCCATGTAAGCGCATGAAACTGCAAGGCAAACAAAAACTCGGCCCGAGTTCTTAGCAGCTTCAGCAAGCCTGTAGTCGAGTGAAGGCATWTCTTAGTTGAGCAACAAACATAAATGGAGAAAGCTGCTAGCTACAACTAGTGTCARGAGACCAAAAGCTCACACATGCCCCTGCCGAGTATAGCCAACCAAACATAAGCTCACATAAGAGCAGCTAGTTGGTGGCTTGCTTGCCGGCTGAGTTGGATTTAACGCCTCAATGGCCAGCACTAACATGTGCTTCTGCTCGACTACGCCACGAGAGTATATAGAAATTTTGAAAAGGTGCTTACATATTCCTACACATAAGGTATTTTCATTTATATATTTTTATATTTTGTCAAGCGCATGCATCAATAAAACTCCCAATTAACATGTACAAAASTAACCCCAGCTGACCAGAGGTAAATTTCGATTGCCAACCTTTAGAAACGCACTGGAGTTAAATTACTGATACTTTTTTATGATTTGTTTCAGATTACAGCGAATGAGTTTAAAATTGATAAAAAAGCAGGGACAATTATTTCCTTAAAGTTTAATAAATTCTATATAAAAGCTGAAAAGGATTATTTTATAAAATTAAATGAAAACAAAAAAGTACTGTTCACGAGAACTTAGTGCGGTCAGTTTTATGGCAGCTATACACTGCAGTAATCCGATCTAAACGATCTAAATATCTCTGAAATATCAGATCATATCCTTAAGCAATAACCCATGATAAATTTGATGAAGATAATTTTCCACTCAAACACTCTATTCCAATCGTTCAGTTTGTAACGCAAAGGAGCTGAGATAAAATAGCGCGTGGAATAACTGGCTTTCATCGCCATACCTTCCCTCTATTGATAAGTTATTGTTCCTTCACCAAGTTCAATTTTTCGGCCGGGTGACTACTGGGTACACGAGATGAGATAATGGACATTGGATATAACGCGCATTGTTTTTACGACGACGTGGAAAAGAGTTTGGAAAAGAGTTTTAAAAATCGGCGGAATGATCTATCTGGATGCAAAACTCCAAAAAACAAAGTCATGTGCAAAGCGGTGGAATAAAAATACGCAAAGTTCTTGCTCACTCTTGATTGAAGAGACTGTGTAAACATGTCTGGTACGCTCACTGACCAAAACCTGGTGGCGGCACACGCCAGTAGAATAAAACTGATAGAGTTGAAATGCCAAGAGCAAGAAGYTGCGATGGTGAGACCGTAGAAGCTATTGAAATTCGCAGCAAGCGCTGGCATTCTGAAAAGTACCCACTTCTCATGAATAACGGCCCACTATCTGTCATCACTAACGATCAAAATTGGTCCATGCGTAACTCACATCCATAGTAGAGACTTACCTAACCTAATGTATTTCGAAAAATTTTTTGTAGGGAAATTATTTTTCTTAAACAAGTTGACCGATAGGTGGCACCAAAGTATGATTATTAACAAAATTTATATTTTTTACACTCCACGGATAATCCATTTCGAGGTTTAAAGAAAAAGAAGAAAAAACGTTATATATCACGTTATATATCACAGGTGCATTTATGTTAGTAACTATGTGTTCAGTTTGTATGGTAGCTATATGTTACAGCAATCCGATCTGAACAATTTTCTCGGATATTACATTATTTCTACAAACAATAACTCGTACCAAATTTCCTGAAGATACATTGTCAAATGAGGAAGTTTCCCATGCAAGCATTTGATTCCGATCATTCGGTTTGTACGGCAGCTATATACTATAGTAATCCGATCTGAACAATTTCTTCGGAGATTACATTGTTGTTTTAAAAAATAATCTGCACCAAATTTCGTGAATATATCTTGTCAAATGTGAAAGTTTTCTATATAAAACTTGATTCTGATCGTTCCGTTTGTATGGCAGCTATATGTTATAGTGATCCGATATCGGCAGTTCTGACAAATAGCAGCTTCTTGAAGAGAAACGACATTTGCAAAATTTCAAAACGATATCTTAAAAACTGAGGGACTAATTCGTATATATACAGACAGACAGACACCCTRCTCAGGGTATAAAAACACATAAACTTCAAATTTATTCGGGAATATACTATACTATACTATATATAATATTATCAGGAACTGGCGAATGACAGRTGTGATATATTGCTCCAAGGCCTGAACCGAAGCAGGATTGTCCGTATAGATTTTTCATATCCCCACAGGAGAGAGTCTAACCTTGTGTTATCACATGATCTTGGTGGGCAATCGACCGCCCAAAATGTGAAATTATCTGCACATTCTCCAATAAACACTTTAAATGATGCGATATATGGGAATCGGCGCCGTCTCACGTATCGGTCGCCATTGACAATTACGTTCTCATTATAATCATTTTTGAACAAAATTTAGAACAAGGTGATGTCGCTCGCGAAGGTCSAACGGCTTCAATTCTTGCACAAGCCGTGTTTTTTATGCATTCAATTTAAGATCTCGACGTAGAATCCTCCAAGTCGTTCCAAACGTCAGTCAGAGTTACTGCGGCGCTGAGGAATCGACTCTTGATGGGCTTTATTTTTTTCTCTGTGGTTTCATTACAAAACGCGAATTTTCGTAAGGAAGTTAAACGATTCGTAAACATTGTTCAGGCGTAAGTTCTTTCATGATGAAATACCGAGCAATACTGGAAAAATACTATGACAGGTTGACACTAATCACGTGTCATCTGTCAAAAAAGTATACGATACGATCGAATACTTGGATCACCCGTTATTAGAAGTAAAATCACTGTAAAACGATCAAAAAACTTTCAGAACAAATGGATGAAAGAATTAATTTAGCTAAATTCATGCAAAAAAAATCCGGACTACTTCCTTTATTTTTTATTTTTAATAGAGTCCATAAGTTTGTTTAGGCTTAATTGTATTAAAAAATACTCCTCCACAAATCAAAATATCTTCTACTTCTTAATTGGCGTAGAC